CTAAGTTGTATAGTAGATTAAAAGCCCATGACAAAGTCTGTATAGGTGCAGTATGGCACCCACATGAAACATCCAAGGTGATCACTTGTGGTTGGGATGGTCTCATTAAACTCTGGGACTGAAGACTTTGAGAGTCTCGATCTGCAATCAGTTGGTGAACATCAAAGATTTCAAAGCACCTACTTTCCAGCAAAGATGACCCAAAACCAGGACATTAACATGGTTGTTCCAAGTTCTTCAGTGTTACAATCTATCCATGCTATACTGGAAATTCACAATACTTGATTTCACAAGTTTCCAAAATGAAGCAAGCTAAAGTTGAAGCTCTTTGATTATTTTGTTACTTATTTTCAAAGTCACATACATTAAATGGAAGAGCTTGATATAGCTTTGTATTTATGAAACTGGATCAGAGACCTCACAAGCTTCACTTTGCTCTGTAAATACCGAAGTTGAAAGAGGGAAAATGTAAATAGAAGGAAGTGTAACATGATGATCTACCGATTATAGAAACTATTTGAGAGCATTTGCCAGTCTCTAAGTACATAGAATATTGATGAGATTGTTTGGTGTATATACTACAGAAATTGCTTCTCAAAATCGGTTCTTTTGTATTTCACAGAAACTCTTTAGTCCTCTTGAAAAGACAAACAAAAGAAAAGTGTTTTGTGCACAATAGTGATACACAACTCCAATTCAGTTTTCATTGTTGAAACCATTACGCCCCACCAGATCCTTGGGTCTTGCTTAAAAGTGTGGAAAGGACCCTGACGATCAATAGAGGCAGAGAATGCCCATCCCACAGCCCATCCCTTATTGGAAGTGGAACAAGGATGTAATTCTAGCCACAGATTTTACGAGTCATCCACTTAGTGGAAGTGATGAGTAAACTAATATATTTGCAGATGCATGGCACTGGAGGGTACATATTCAGAAACCACACTTTTATCATGACTGTTTTGTATTGTGAAAAATTGGGTTCCCATTCTTACTCAAGACTGTTTTTAATAACCAAAATGTCTAAATAACATGTCTAGATATAATTTAACTCTTGAGTACCCCGATTGTGTGTTGGCGTCAATTCCATTCACCAGTGTGTATTGTACCAAGGCAGAAATGATGACTGACTCTTTGAGATGCATTTATGAACAAACCGCAGCTTCATTATCACTTTACCACCCAAATCTTGTAAAGGGGCACTTTAATATATATTTTTATTTTGTAGAATTGTCAAAGTTTTGTGCTGAACTACTGTACATATGTCTCGATCCTTCTTTCTACAGAACCTATTTTTAATAAATGTTTTATAAGGAAAGACAGATCTTTGACTTGGCACAAATTCTCAAGCACTGCCCAAAGTGTGTTTTTTAAAAATATTTATTTGGTTAGATGTTATTCTCTAGCATGTCAAAGTGTGAAAAATTATGAAATTAGATTAAAATATTATGGAATGATTTCTCTTTGCAATGAACCTGTGTGGAGATGCATAAGAATTGTTTCTCTCCTGGGCTGGAATGGCTTTGCACCTTATTTTTTCTGATACGAAGATTAATAATAGATATTGGAATCACAAGTACAAGAATATGTCTATTAATAGCCAGGTGATTGCCCTTTCTTTCTGGATACATGTATCAAGTTACTGCTACTTCCATAGTTAAAAAGATACTAGTGGATTTGGACACCAGTGCTTCTTGGGTTATTCAAAGGGCATGCAGCCTTGATCTTATAATCTTAGTAAGTGTTGTTGCCGGATCATTTCACCTAACTGGTAGATTATAGCTCAGCAACAGCTATAAAAGCATCTATTTCCCACCCCTGATCTAAAAGCACCTGTTGTGCAAGTGTTACTAGTAGAGCTGTGATGTGCTTAATCTTTTTCAGATAGCTGTTTGTCCTATAGGATACACATACACACAGGGAGATAAACTGGAAGATAAAAAGGAGTTAACCCATCTACCCATGCAGGATGGAAAATATGTCCTGTTTGTTCCACTACTACTTCCTGTTTCTTTCATGCAAAAAATATAGGAGAGTACATACGTTGCTAGGAATGAATTATCCATGTGTCTTGTGTGCTGCATATGTCAAGATATGAACTGTTTTCAGCTTCTCAATGGTGCACATTTTTATAAACTACACATTTATCATAACTGATACAGCTTGTAAGGAGTGAAGAGGAGTTCGTTTTATCTTTCAGAAAGGAGAAATTAGTCCAGTTGAGAACATCTTCATCCTAACCCGGATCAATACAGAAGAATTACATTTACATGTACATAGTTGTGTCATAAACTGGATTGTCCTGTGTACAAGTGGAAAGCAGTAGAAAGATTTTCACTTATTGAGAGGAGTTCCACCTCATGGCACACCTAGTCACTAGGCCTGGGTAACAACGGAAAAATTTGTTTCTAAAATCGATTTGTATTTGGGGGGTTTTTTTGTTTCGATATTTAAAATAATTACAAAATTTTCCTTTTAAAAAGTTCGATATTTACGAAATTTCGTAAATGGTAAAAAATTAACATCGATTTCCGAAACAATAACGAATCGATTCGTTAATGGCGGACGCGACCGCGAAATACGCTAAAAAACCTCCAAAACTTCTGAAGCTTCCCTCTCCCTCTGTTGTTGACTGTTGGTGTGATATTATAATTTTTTATCACTAATTAAACAAACAACTATAAAACTTGCCCCAGACATGCGGAAATAATAACGAAACGACTTCAAAACGATAACGAAATGAATACATAACAAATCCGAAACAATTACGAAACGAATTTAAAAATTCGTTTCATTTTTAAGTTGCTCCAGAATGGTTCGTTATCGCTTTGTTATAAAAAAATTAACGAATTATTAACGAATTACGAATTAACGAAACCGTCCAGCCCTACTAGTCACAAGTAAATGTGCGCATACGCCATAAAATTCATAACGAGAAAATATACACAAAAGCCACATATTACTATATTGGTATGGGATGACAGATGAAATCCAGAATTTGTTTCAGTTTATAAAAGGAGATTTGTACTCACAGAAAGGATTGTGGACACTACTTTCATTTTGAGGGAACAACTAAGAAAAACTAGCCATGGAGGCCTTATTAAAAATGATTCACCCAGATAAGTCAGTGTTTTCTACCCAAACCCTTTTTTATTTGTCAATTGATTTTTTGCTGGTATCTACTTTGAACCAATTTTGCTGAAACATACTTGACTTGGTAATTCAGTCAACAAGGCAGGCAGCCCTCTGAAACAATTGAAAAGAGAAGATGAAACATACCAAATGTTACAAAGAGGGAATTCTGCCAAAATGGTTATGGATGTAATGCAGTGGGAGGCACTATTTGAAGTAGAGAAGTTGGAAGCAAATAGGTTGAATACTCTTCCCCCCACCCCATCCCCTTCTCTGTACCTGTTGCCAAGAGCAGGTAAAGGAAAGCACACGCTTTTGGAAAAGGGGGGGGGGGTGAGATAACCAACCCCTTATCTTCCCCTACCAGGTTTGCTGAAAAAGATTGTTTTTAGCATTCTGAAAATACTATATATTTCTTACTATTGTATAAAGGTGCAAATTATAGAAAATACATCTGTTGATTGTCTATAGCACCTACAATCACACCTACACCTACTGCTTCACACACTACATTTTAACCTACCAAATGTGAAATTTTACTATGTGGCATAAGGTGAGTAAATGCACGTAATGACATGACAATATAGGATAAATTATACTGCAGTCAGATTGCTTCTGCTGGAGCAGTGCTTTCCCTTTCATTTAACTGCATGTTCCTCCTGAATTAGCACACAGAAATGGCCTTACATTAAATGCTTTTCATGTTTAGTTAAAAATTGCCCCAAAGGGAGTGGTTACACTTGCCATGGGGATCACAGCTGGCACCAGCACCCACCACGGCTGCCCATCCTGAGCTTTTGGTGCATATATATCTATTTTTGGTATGCTACAGATCAGTAATACCCAAACTCTGATCTTCAATTGTTTTGAACTTCAGCTCCCAGCCAGCTTGGTCAATGGACATGAATTCTGGGACCTAAAGCTCACAATATCTGAAGACCAACGTTTGGGAAACATTGCCATAGATGATGGGACTAGATTATTTGCAATATGACACTCGGTTGATTTGGGGGATATTTAAACTTTGTTATGCAAGATTTGAATGCAAAACAGATGGCAAAAGTATTGGCTGCAATTAAACTGGCTTTAGAACAAAATATTTTTGAAAGCCAAAACAGTAAACCTTCAAGGCTTGGCTCTCAAATGTGAAGACTTGATTGATAAATAATGTAACTTACAATATTCAAGCCTAAACAAATATTTAGAACACTAACTCTAATTTTGGTTCTATTTATTTAAGACAGGCCAGAATTCTATATCATTGACTTAGCTGCATCTCTTGGCTAGACGCCCCCAAATCTACCATATCAGGCAACAGCTGGTGAACATGGTGTAGATGGGTGATATTTTTGGCTGCCTTCCTGCCATCAAGCAAGGATGCAATGACCCCTGTCACGTGATTCTGGGCCTGGTCTCCATGTAAGCTGCCCCGAGTCCCTTTGGGGAGATGGTGGCAGGATATAAGAACAATGTTGTTCTTGTTGTTCCTGCCACAAGTCTTCATTACAGCCCTGTTTCCTGCTGGAAGCAAAAATGTAACCCACCCACGCCCACTCACAAGCAGAATGGACCTCCTTCACTTGGGAGCCCCATTGAGTTGTGGGGCAGTTAAGAGTCATGGCAGCAGTGCCACAGTTATGACTAGATAGGGATTGCGAATATGAATCAGTTATGTGATTTGTTGTATGTATATTTTGTCTCCATATTATAACATTTTCTCTATAAGAATATCTGAAGGTCTCAAATTGTTTTCCTTATCAGATAAAGAGAGAATATGTGGAAGATAAATAGAAAAGCAGACTTCAAAAACTGAAATACTGAAGCAGTCCCCATTATTGATGTGAGGCAAAAAGTAGTGGCAGACAAAAATGGCAGTTTTACGAGTTCTTTTTATTTGCTAAAGAGAGCCCGTAACAGAGTAGAGTGACACATCCTTGTCAGCCATTTAAAACAACACATTAGCCAGAGTTGCAGGTCAGAATATGCTAGGGATCCATGGGAACCCTAGTTTCCAGGACTGAGCAGTTGCTCACATTTGTAGTGGGTGCAATTGACAAATGACAGAGCCTTAGTCAGTCTTGTTAACTACATTGTACAAATCAGGCAGTTTGGTTCTCTCCAAACTAGTCAGATATTGAATTTATGTTCTGTTTTAGATATATTTGTGGATCCCACCTCTGGGTCGACTTTTAAGAGGATAAAATCCCAAGAACCTCAACTCTCCATCCACCATGATTTACTTAAAAACATGTAATATTTTAAGCTTCTTCATTTTAACATATTTTTATCCAAGAAGGAACAACTGATTACATGCTATATTTTACCTTTTTCATCTCTAATGGTGGTGGCACAAAATTCAAATAGGCTTGAGATGATCTGCAGCTGTGTGCACACATGAAGCAAACAAAGTAGATTTTTTTAAATGTCAGGAGTGACTTGAGAAACTGCAAGTTGCTTCTGGTGTGAGAGAACTGGCTGTCTGCAAGGATGTTGCCCAGGGGACGCCCGGATGTTTTGATGTTTTACCATCTTGTGGGAGGCTTCTCTCATGTCCCCACAGGAGCCAGAGCTGACAGAGAGCTCATCCACGCTCTCCCCAGATTCAAACCTGTGACCTGTCAGTCTAAGTAGGTACTCTATATCCAGCTGTTTCCTCTTCTAGAAAACTGGGCCTTTCCACTTTGGGAAGATAATGATAACATTTTCTTTGTATTAATATTACTGCTTCTATGCTTGGATGTTTCTTCATGTCTGTCATGTCTCCAAAGTTACCTTCAACCATACTGTCAAAGGGGAAAATTCAGAATTCAGTTCAGTTGTGCTCCAGCCTGCCATTTCCATCTTGTATTCACCCAGCTCAGTGTATAACAACTGCTTGCATTGAAGGCTTCCCTTTTGAGAAAGACCTGTGGTTTCAATAAGTCTTTGTAAGTGTGAAACAGCCTGAAGTCCTTCAGTTCTAATTCTTTAAGGAGGCTGTACCAGTATCGGACCACAGTGCTGTCATTGCCACTGACCTCAAATCCAGGCCAGTGCACATGGATCTCAAAGATCAGTTGTCCGATCCGTTCCACAATGTCCTCCAAGATCAGGTTTTCCAAAATTTTCCACTCTGCACTTTCCATATCTGCTTTAAGGACATCGATCTGTAACACACAGAGCAATGTGAAAGTCAAGCTGACAGACCAGATAAAAGAAGTGCGTTCTTAAGTACACTGGAAAAAGAGAAAGGCCGTTTCTATGTCTAAAAGAAGATTCAAATTGAGATACTTACAATAATAAGGTATACAAACACCAATAATTCCTATTTTTGCAAACAGAACTTGCACATATTATAAATTACTAGCAAATGCATTAGCCGAAGTTGTTCTATATATATATATGCCTGAAAAATAATCCATATACAAGACACAGATCAGTAGGCTTGCAGGAACCCCAAGGTTTGAAGAAATACCAGATAATTTAGGGGAGCTTCATAAAAGGAAGGGAATCCTAAAACAGACCCAAGGAACTTGGCATGTTCAATGGCCACGAAATGCCATTGCAGAAGTGTGTGGAGAATAGGATAGAGAAACCTAGAAGAGAACATGGCTGTTGTTGTTGTTCATTCGTTCAGTCGTCTCCGACTCTTCGTGACCTCATGGACCAGCCCACGCCAGAGCTCCCTGTCGGCCGTCACCACCCCCCGCTCCTTCAAGGTCAGTCCAGTCACTTCAAGGATGCCATCCATCCATCTTGCCCTTGGTCGGCCCCTCTTCCTTTTCCTTCCACTTTCCCCAGCATAATTGTCTTCTCTAGGCTTTCCTGTCTCCTCATGATGTGGCCAAAGTACTTCAACTTTGTCTCTAGTATCCTTCCCTCCAGTGAGCAGTTGGGCTTTATTTCCTGGAGGATGGACTGGTTGGATCTTCTCGCAGTCCAAGGCACTCTCAGAACTTTCCTCCAGCACCACAGCTCAAAAGCATCGATCTTCCTTCGCTCAGCCTTCCCTAAGGTCCAGCTCTCACATCCGTAGGTTACTACAGGGAATACCATGGCTTTGACTAGGCGGATCTTTGTTGCCAGTCTGATGTCTCTACTCTTTACTATTTTATCGAGACTGGACATTGCTCTCCTCCCAAAAAGTAAGCGTCTTCTGATTTCCTGGCTACAGTCTGCATCTGCAGTAATCTTTGCACCTAGAAATACAAAGTCTGTCACGGCCTCCACGGTTTCTCCCTCTATTTTCCAGTTGTCAATCATTCTTGTTGCCATAATCTTGGTTTTTTTGACGTTTATCTGCAACCCGGCTTTTGCGCTTTCTTCTTTCACCTTGATTAGAAGGCTCCTCAGCTCCTCCTCGCTTTCGGCCATCAGAGTGGTGTCATCTGCATATCTGAGGTTGTTAACGTTTCTTCCAGCAATTTTCACCCCAGCTTTGCATTCATCCAGCCCCGCACATCGCATGATGTGTTCTGCATACAAGTTGAATAGGTTGGGTGAGAGTATGCAGCCTTGCCGTACGCCTTTCCCAATCTTGAACCAGTCTGTTGTTCCGTGGTCAGTTCTACTGTTGCTACTTGGTCCTTGTACAGATTCCTCAGGAGAGAGACAGGTGGCTTGGGATGCCCATCCCACTAAGAACTTGCCACAATTTATTATGATCCACACAGTCAAAGGCTTTAGAATAGTCAATGAAGCAGAAGTAGATGTTTTTCTGAAACTCCCTGCCTTTCTCCATTATCCAGCGGATATTGGCAATCTGGTCTCTCGTTCCTCTGCCTTTTCTAAACCCAGCTTGAACATCTGGCAAACTCTCGCTCCATGTATTGCTGGAGTCTTCCTTGCAGGATCTTGAGCATTACCTTACTGGCATGAGAAATAAGGGCCACTGTACGGAAGTTTGAGCAGTCTTTCGCATTTCCCTTTTTTGGTATGGGGATATAAGTTGATTTTTTCCAGTCTGATGGCCATTCTTGTGTTTTCCATATTTGCTGGCATATGGCATGCATCACCTTGACAGCATCATCTTTTAAGATTTTAAACAGTTCAGCTGGGATCCCGTCTTCCCCTGCTGCCTTGTTGTTAGCAATGCTTCTTAAGGCCCATTCAACCTCACTCCTCAGGATGTCTGGTTCTAATTCATTCACCACACCGTCAAAACTATCCTCAATATTATTATCCTTCCTATACAGATCTTCTGTATAGTCTCGCCACCTTCTCTTGATCTCTTCAGCTTCTGTTAGGTCCCTGCCATCTTTGTTTCTTATCATACCAATTTTTGCCTGAAATTTACCTCCAATGTTTCTAATTTTCTGGAAGAGGTCGCTTGTCCTTCCTATTCTGTTGTCTTCTTCCACTTCCATGCATTGCTTATTTAAAAATAGTTCCTTATCTCTTCTGGCTAACCTCTGGAATTGCGCATTTAACTGGGCATATCTCCCCTTATCACTGTTTCCTTTTGCTTTCCTCCTTTCTTGGGCTACTTCCAGTGTCTCAGCAGACAACCATTTTGCCTTCTTGGTTTTCTTTTTCTTTGGAACGTACTTTGTTGCCGCCTCCTGAACAATGTCGCGGACTTCTGTCCATAGTTCTTCTGGGACTCTGTTTACTAAATCTAGTCCTTCAAATCTGTTCTTCACTTCCACTGTATATTCGCTAGGAATGTTAGTGAGATCATATCTAACTGGTCTGTGTATTTTCCCTGATCTCTTTAGTTTTATTCTAAATTGGGCAATAAGAAGTTCGTGATCTGAGCTACAGTCAGCCCCAGGTCTTGTTTTCACCGACTGGATGGATGTCCGCCACCTTTGGCTGCAAAGGATGTAGTCAATCTGATTTCGGTGTTGACCGTCTGGTGAGGTCCATGTGTAAAGCCGTCTTTTAGGTTGTTGAAAGAGAGTATTCGTTATACACAGCGAGTTTTCCTGGCAAAATTCTATCAGCCTGCGTCCCGCTTCATTTTGTTCTCCCAGACCATGCTTGCCTGTGATCGCTGTTGTCATTTGACTTCCCACCTTGGCATTCCAGTCTCCTGTAATGAAAATAATGTCTCTTTTTGGTGTATTATCCAGTAGGTCCTGCAGATCCTCATAGAACTGATCTACTTCTGCTTCTTCAGCAGCTGTGGTTGGGGCGTATATTTGGATCACTGTAATTGAAAGGCTTTCCTTGCACTCGAATTGAGATCATTCTGTCATTTTTTGGGTTGTATCCAAGCACCGCTTTAGCGAATTTCTTATTAATTATGAAGGCTACTCCATTTCTTCGATGTTCCTCTTGTCCGCAGTAGTAGATCTGGTGGTCATCTGATGTGAAGTGGCCCATTCCAGTCCATTTCAGTTCGCTGACCCCCAGAATGTCTATCTTTAGTCTTGACATCTCACCAATAACAACATCCAATTTGCCCTGGCTCATAGATCTTACATTCCAGGTTCCTATGGTGTGTTGATCTTTAGAGCATCGGATTCGTCGTTCACCTCCAGTACCGTCGGCCGCTAGCCTTCCTTTCGGCTTTGAGCTAGCTGCGTCATCACATCTGGGGCTAGTTGAACGTATCCTCTGCTCCTCCCCAGTAGCATTTTGGCCATCTTCCGACCTGGGAGTCCCATCTTCCAATGGCATACCGACATATCTCTGGTTGTACTGGTCCATTTAGTTTTCTTGGCAAGGATACTGGAGTGGTTTGCCATTGCCTTCCCCAGGTATCACGCTTGGTCTGACCTCTCTGCGACAACCGTCCCGTCTTGGGTGGCCCTTCACGGTTTCGCTCATGACATCATTGAGGTGCTCAAGCTCCAGCGTCCCGACAAGGCGGTGATCCTTTGCTGGAGAGAACATGGCTAGCTGGAAGGAAATCTTAGAAGCACTGTATGCTGAAATATCTTGCAGGTTCTACTTATTAAAATTTTTGGTCTAAGTCCAAAAGGCACCAAGTCCCACCTGATCTTTGACCTAAGCGGGGTCAGCCCTGGTTAAAATTTGGAAGGAAGTCTGCCAATGAATAATAGATGTTTTAAGCCAGATTTCAGAGGAAGGAACTGGCGAACCTACGAGTATTGTTTGCCTAAGAAAACTATATGAAATGCATAGGGTCACAATAAGTCACCAGGTAATTTCAAGACACACACACACACACACAGAAACTAAACTGGACTTATGCCATAATATCTTTCAAATCATTTTCAATGACACCCCAAGTCCTATCTCAGTCACCTTCACAAGACTTTAATGCTGCCAGTTATTGCCTTCTCTTTTTTAATTTCCCCAGAGCAACTCTGTGAGCCTATTCATGCACTATAACTTGAGCTCAAATACTGCAAAAGCATATAGCTAACCGATCTGACGCCCTCTCAATTAATACAACCATCATAGTGGACTTAGTGAATATCACATATAGATTTTACTTTCTGAAGCACAGCATTCAATGTCTGCCAACTTGGGCCTAGACATCCTCCTGAAAGATGTTCACACCCGAGGAATGGCCACTCTTTCTCACAGCAATCATGACATCAGGGTGACCATTAAGAAGATGCTTCAGCAAGATGAGAGAGGTACAGGGGCCTAGATCTTGCCAAGAGAGTTAGCCCAGCTGTTCCAATTATTGCTCTCTGTCTGCCTTGGCAGAACAACATGCCATCTGTCACTCTCATATGCACTAAAGCAATTTCAAAATACAAATCCATCCATGGTTGCCTTGACAGTTCCTGAGATTATAAACAACTTGGCACTTTAAAGTCTAACTCTAAAGCTCTAAAACATGTGTTCGCCTTCAAATCTCCTGTTGACCTATGGAGACCCCGTGAATTTCAAAGTCTTTCCTTAGGTAAGGAATACTCAGAGCTGATTTTGTTAGTACTTTCCTCCGAAATATAGCCTACAACACTTGGTACAGTCTTGCTTTAAACACCACATTGTGCCTGATCTTGGCAACAGAGTCAGTTAGCACTAATTAGTCCCTAAATGGGAGATCACCAATGAAGACCAGGTAATATAGGTTATATTTCAGAAGAAGGAACTGGCAAACCACCTCTGAATATTCTTTGACTAATAAAATCCAATGAAGTCACCATAAGTTGACAAGCAACTTGAAGGCACATGTAGACACACATGGACTGTTTTTTAAACGAGTGAACACTAGTCTCCATTGTGAATCTTTGCATTCTTG